ACCCAACCATATGCAGTTGTGAGTACCGCAGTTGTGAATAAGTATCGTCCTCGGTGGAGCTCCTTATGGGGCCACAAACTGTGTGAGGGGCCTGCCACAGTGGTGGTGGTGGGTGGGGAACCGCATGCGGGCACCCCCACTGGGGCCTTCGGTGGAGCTCCTTATGGGGCCACGAAACGCTGCCCTGGGTGGGGGAACCGCATGCGGGCACCCCCACTGGGACCTTCGGTGGAGCTCCTTGTGGGGCCACGAAAAGCTGCACTGGGTGGGGGAACCGCATGCGGGCACCCCCACTGGGGCCTTCGGTGGAGCTCCCTGTGGGGCCACGAAACGCTGCCCTGGGCGGGGGAACCGCATGCGGGCACCTCCACTGGGGCCTTCGGTGGAGCTCCCTATGGGGCCACGAAACGCTGCCCTGGGTGGGGGAACCGCATGCGGGCACCTCCACTGGGGCCTTCGGTGGAGCTCCCTATGGGGCCACGAAAACGCTGCCCTGGGCGGGGGAAACCGCATGCGGGCACCCCCACTGGGCCCTTCGGTGGAGCTCCCTGTGGGGCCACGAAACGCTGCCCTGGGCGGGGGACTCCACTGGGGCCTTCGGTGGAGCTCCCTATGGGGCCACGAAACGCTGCCCTGGGTGGGGGAAACCGCATCCGGGCACCCCCACTGGGGACTTCGGGGAGCGCACTATGGGCTACGAAACGCTCCTTGGGTGGGGAACCGCATGCGGGCACCCCCCACTGGGGCCTTCGGTGGAGCTCCTTATGGGGCCACGAAACGCTGCCCTGGGTGGGGGAACCGCATGCGGGCGCCCCCACTTGGGCTTCCGGTGGAGCTCCCTATGGGGCCACAAAACGCTGCCCTGGGTGGGGGAACCGCATGCGGGCACCCCCACTGGCCCTATGGGGCCACGAAGCGCTGCCCTGGGTGGGGGAACCGCATGCGGGCACCCCCACTGGGACCTACAGTGGAGCTCCCTATGGGGCCACGAAACGCTGCCCTGGGTGGGGGAACCGCATGGCACCCCCACTGGGGCCTTCGGTGGAGTTCCCTATGGGGCCACGAAGCGCTGCCCTGGGTGGGGGAACCGCATGCGGGCACCCCCACTGGGGCCTACGGTGGAGCTCCCTATGGGGCTACGAAACGCTGCACTGGGAGGGGGGTGGGGAGGGGGGGGAGGAGGAGGAAGGAGGAAGGAGGTGGGACGCGGGGCGCTGTCTCTTCAAAACGAGGACCCAGCACCACAGGATGGATGAGAATTTTTAAACATCTGGAAATGATTTGTTAGCTTGCTTCCTCTCCATCAATTAATTGAGTTCCACAACGATAAGGATAAAAAGGCCTTGGACGCCCATGTCGGAGCATTTCGAGCGGGGCGCGGCCGACGAAACTGGCCAAGGACGGACCGAGGAGGCAAGGATGCAGGGGTACCCCTGGGAAGCTGCCCATCCTTACTATGCGGGTTGACTGTCGGAGAAAGAACAAGGAACACCCGAACCAGGCAAGGCAAGACACCGACCGCCGAGCGGAACCAGAGCAGCCGGGAAACCAGGAACCTGCGGCGAGCAAAGGGGGGAAGTGAGAAGAAGGCCTTCTCAGAAGGCGGCGGGACCTCTCAGAAGCCCTCGCGCCTTCTGAGAAGCTGCCTGTGCCTTCGGGGCAGGCTTAGAACACTCCTCGGAAGGCCGGGAGGCTCCCGAGCCTTCCCAGACCCTGACTCCGGATCCGCCCTACTTTGGGGAAATTCATAGGTAGGGCTTGGAATTTCCGCCTTACTTTTCAAGCCCCGCTGATGCCAATTTCCGCCCTACTTTTCTGTTGCTGTTTCCGCCCTACTTCTGCGGATTTCCGCCCCACTTTATGCTGGGTGCAGACATTTCCGCCCTACTGTTTCGGCCTCTTATAGGTGGATTTCCGACGCAATCTCAAGTTGGAAAACAAGCCAAAGAAGGGCGGATCCGGAGTCAGGGGAAGGCCTTCCCCTTCTCACTTCCCCCCCTCGCTGGCCGCCGAAGGAACTCCGCTGTCAGCCGCGGCGCGGCAACTTCTCTTGCCTGCCCACAGCGCCGGCGGTCGCCGGCGCGTTTCTGCGAGCCGGCGGGGCGCGCCGCGGCGAAGCACCGCAACGCGCGGGCGGAAGGAGGGCGCCGAGCCGAGAAAGCACGGGGCGTCGGATGGCGTCAGTGAAGGGGCCCCAGGACACACAAATAAATACACACAAATCAGAATATTCCTCATCTTTTCCTATATTTTCTGGGTTTTCGTCTTCCCCCCACTTCCCATATTTTTCCCATGTTTTCCTGGGGGTCGACGATGAATTGTGTCTGCGTGTTTCTTTCCCCCCTGAGTCAGGAGGGGCGCGGCAGGAAGAGAAAAAGGAGGAGAGCGGCTGCGAAGCAGGGCGACAACCTGTGACGGCGAGCGAGGGGGGGGGGAGTGAACAGGAGAAGGCCTTCTCAGAAGGCGGCGGGACCTCTCAGAAGCCCCCTGGTGCCTTCTCAGAGGTTTTTCATATCTTCGGGGAAGGCTTAGAAAACTTCTCAGAAGGCTTGGGGACTTCCGAGCCTTCTCAGAAGGCCCGCCCCTTTTCACTTCCCCCGCGGGCTCGCCGCCCAATCCTCATATCATGCAGCACTTCACGCGAGGCGCAGCAAAAGCCCACGGTTCCAGCAGCAATCGCTCGAGCTGGCCAGAAGCAGGCGGGGCAACTCGCAACGAGAACGGCCGGGCGCCGGGGACAACCCAAGCAAGAAGGGCGGCGACACCCGGGCGCTGGGGGGGGCTGGCTGGGAGAGCGGCCGAGCCAAGAAATCAACGACCGCTGGGCTCTCCACAGGAACAGCCAGGAAGAGGCCAGTGGCACTCGAAGCAGAGGCATCACCACACCAGCCAGGCGCAGTGAAAGCATTGTTAGATGCAGCCAGCATCACCGGGACCAGAAAGCCCCCTCACCGCAGCGGGGCAGTCCGCCGGACACGCCTGACCTCGTGGTGCAAGCACCGCTTGCGGAACTGAGCCGTCGCCCCCCCATCCGACGTTGTTTTTGTTTGTCATCTCCCGTTTGCGGTCGTTACCCGGGGGCGGGGGGGGCGGGTAACGGTAACGCTTGGGCGGGGCGAGGCGGGGCCCGTCGGGGCAGAGCTGCGCTGCGATCGCCGAAGTTTTCGCGCGAGCGCCAGCACGGGGGGGAGGGCCCAGCCCCCCCCCCACGTACGATCGCTACTCTTAATGTCAGCTTGTGATTAACGAGCCCGTTTAAAAAATAGTCTCCCTCCTCGGGCAAACTGCGGGAGTGGCGCACGCCAAACACCTGTTCGAAATGAAGCTGTCGGCGCTCGCCCCCTCACTTTTCGTGCTCCTTGATGTCGAACCGATGCGCCTCTTTTGCCCTGGCCGCGAGTAAGGCGGGCTGAACGAAAGGGGGACGTGGCCAAGCGGGGATTTGCGATTTGCCAAGCAGCTCGCGTTGCTGATGTTCCGAGCGCCTCCTGGCGCCGAAAGCGGCCATGCATCAAGGATTGGCCGCTCGGCGGGGCGACCGAAACCAGCTGAGCGCAGCAACGGGGGTTCGCACCCCACGTTTCCTTCCCCAGCTTTTCGCCCGACCCGAGCAAGGCGAGCACTCCTCCTCCCCCCGTCTGTCGTGGTCTGTCTGTAATGAACGACGACGACGAGTAGGCCCGGTGTAATCGACGACGACGACGACGACGACGACGACGACGACGAGGGCAACGACGAGGACGAGGACGACGGACGGCGGACGGCGACGGCGACGACGACGCACTGCGGATGCCCTATGGGGGGGGGCGGTGCTGCGCAGGCCAACTGTAGCCGACGGCGACCACGACGACCTGCGGATGCCGCATAAGGGGTGTGCTGCATAGGCCCGTTGGTGTCGACGACGACGACGACCTGCGGAAGCCACAAGGGGGGGTGCTGCGTAGGCCCGCTGTAGTCGACGACGACGACGACGACGACGACCACCACCACCACCACCACCACCACCACCACCACCACCACCACGACCACGACCACGACCACGACGACGACGCCTGAGAGGGGTAACAAAAACTCGCGTCGGACGTATACGACCCCCATAACAACTTCTATACGAAAAAAGGCACTCTTGTTGAGGCTATCATGCAGGGGGGTACACGATCCCCTCGGCGGTGCCCGCGACGACCCCCTGGCGCGCGTGATTGAAAAATGTTTCGCGCCCCGCGGGGTCTGTTCATCAGCGCCCAGGGGGAGCCTCATTTGTGAATCACAAGCTGACATTACCCTGGGGAGGGGGGGGTCTCGAAAAACGACCGTCACGTGCCAAAGGATGGAACAACAGGCTCCCCGGGATGGACCAGATGGCCCTCGACCTGCACCTTCCACACCTTCCGTGCGGACGGTGCCGCAACGGTGCGGCCGCGACGGCAGCGCGGCACCTGCCGCGCGGAAGGTGCGGAATGTGCAGGTCGAGGGGGGTGGACCGGACGAGAGGGGTGATGATGGGCCTGTTTTCGACCACCACCACCACCACTATAAGTTGGAGGGAAGAAGGAGGAGGAGGACGAAGAGGAGGAGGAGGATGATGATGATGAGGAGGAGGAGGAGGAGGAGGAGGAGGAGGAGGAGGAGGACCCCCTCCCCCTCCAACTTATGGTGATGGTGGTGGTGGTGGAAATCACGCCCATCAGGTGCATCCCAGCCAGGAGCAAGCCTTAGCAAGCGGGGGGCCTACGTTCCATCGCGACGGGTCCTGTTCCACTGGTAACCAGGCGATGGCGCCCGGCAGCGGCACTCTCGTGGGGAGTCCTGGCCCGGGGCGCTCCTGAACTGTGGCCCCTGGTCGCTCACTGAACGCTCCCCACCTGGAGGGGGAGGTGGCGGAGGAGGAGGTCAGCGCTTCAGCTGGGGGCTCCGCCTTCTGCCCATGCCCGAGTACACAATGGCTCGACATGTCAAGCGTGGGCTCCGCACTTCCCCGCATCCCGAGAGCATCGCACCGCCTACTGCGGACTCGCCACTCTGCAGGGCGTCGGCCCGGACGCGCTTGATGTACGTTGTCACCAGGCGCGAGTAGTCTTGGTCACCTGCGCCGGACCTCCCTCCTGGCAACCTGCACCCCCTGCTGGCCGTCTTCCTCCCGATGCGTCCTTGCCTCCCTCTGCACGCTGCGGCCGCCGCTGGTCGTCTTCGTCGGAGTCGGCGCCCTCGTGTGGCTGCTCCTCCTGCCAGTGCAGGCCCCTGCTCCCGCTCCTGCTGCTGCTGGCGTCTCCTCTCTGCTCCGTCGGTCGGTCGTCGTCGCCCCCGCGCCTCAGGCGGGCTGGATGCATGCAGGCAAGCGCAAGCGATAGGAATTCCTGCAACAGTAATGTTAGCCAGCGTGGGCCCGGGGCAGTGCACTGCGGAGGTGAGGGCTGGCCCCGAAGGGCCTTTTACCACCCCCCCGCGCGCTCCTGGGGAATTGATCGATTGACCCACGAGCTTCTTGACGGATTGGGGCCCCAACGATAAGTGGAAAACAAATATTCTCCCGCGGCGGCCACCGCACAGGCGAGAGAGGAGGGAGGAGGAGGAGGAAGCGGAGGAGGAGGAGGACCAGTGTAAACCCAAAAGGCATCAACGATGTTGGAATAAACCCTCCCTCCAAGCTCCCTCTTCATAGGCCCCTACAACGGTTCATTTCCATTGAGGGAACTGCCTCGTTGGACGACAACCGTTTGAAGACGCTACAGCATGTCCAAGCGTTGTTCTCGGGATTCCAACGCCACGAATCAACCTGACTGTTGCGTGTTGACGATCAAGAATCGTGCCAGAACGCCATTCCCGGGACTTCAACACAACGAATCAACGTAACTGCTGCGCCCGCGTAATCCTGAATCTTTACAAGACACCACTTCTGGTACGTTGATGATGGTAATCCGTGAAACTCTTGCAAATATTTAACGCGAATGTGCGCAGCGCTGAGGCGAGAACCACACTTTGAAAAGAAACCGCCCTCAATCCGTGAAGCTCTTGCAGATGCCAATGAACGAATGTGCGCCGCGCTAAGGCGAAATCCATATTTCGAAGAACACCCGCCCTCAATCAGTGAAACTCTTGCAAATGTTTACAATGAATTTGCGCAGTGCTAAGGCGAGAGCCACGTTTTGAAAACCACCCGCCCTCCACCTGTGAAACTGTTGTCAATTTTGCAGTTTCAGAATCATACGGGGAGGAAGTCTCAGGCGAAACGCCCGGCCCGCCTAAAGAACTGGCCTCGATGTGCGAGAGGAAGCAGATATTTCTAAGGAAAAGGAATGGAGGAGGAGGAGGAGGAGGACGAGGAGGAGGAGGAGGAGGAGGAGGAGGAGGGAGGGGAAGGAGGAGGAGGGACGAGTTTCTATTCCCCGCCGAGAGTTTGGGGAGGGGGGCGCAGCCCTCTAGAAGAAAAAACATAACGCCATAAACACAAAAAACTGTTTGACGCTCCGCGCGGACTTCTCGGAACCGCGCTGGACCCCCCTCCCTGGCGCGCGGAGCGCGCCAAGGGCGGCGCCGGAGGCGCCGCCAGGGGGGGGCCCAGGCGCGGATCCGAGAAATCCGCGCGGAGCGCCAGAAGTTTATGTCTACGTGGTCTTTTCTTCTTCGGTATTCCCCGCCGAGAGCCTGGGGGGGCGCAGCACTGAAGACTAGAGTTGACCAGTTCTGAATATTCCTCCTGTAGAAGGACAGGCACGACTTAACACTGAAGACCTTCGGGGTTACATTAGGGAAACAACCAATGACATAAACATACAAACTCGGAGGTCCGCGCGGATTTCTCGGACTGGCGTTGGACCCCCCCCCCTTGGCGCGCGGAGCGCGCCAGGGGCGGCGCCGGAGGCGCCGCCAGGGGCCTCCAGCGCGGATCCGAGAAATCCGCGCGGACCTCCGAGTTTTTATGTTCATGTCACTGTTCTTTCTCCTGTACGTGGTGTGAGCTGCGTGCCATGGGCACCGCCTCGGGGCTGCCCCGGTCGCGGCGCGGGCGGCCCTCGGAGAGGGCCTCCGCCTGGCTTGCCTGTGTGCCCGCGCGGTCCTCGGGGGCTCTGCCTCGGGCCTGCGGGGGGGGGGCTAAGCCTGGAGGCCTCCTAGATAGGGGTCCGAGCAGACGGGGTCGGAGGATCGCGTCGCATCGCCAATGCATCGGCGATGCATCGGCGACGCATCGGCGACGTCGGCGTGGAGAAAATCGGGCTCCGCATCGAGCCGCATCGCCGATGCATTGGCGAATGCGGCGCGATCCTCCGCCCCCATCTACTCCGACCCCATCTGAGAGGCCTAGAAAGCCTGGACTTAGGTCAGGCATGTCGGCATGTCCCCCTGCAGGCAGATTTGCGTGGAAAAATAAAAGATGTTCAGAACAACGGCCCAAAAGTATGAAACATGCGCAAAAAAACGTCCTCAGGCTATTTTGTGACCATTTCTGAATATTCCTCCTGTAGAGGGACGTGTCCGACTTAAGGCTGTAAGAGGGCTAAGCCTGGACTCGTAAACTCTTTAGACATGTTCGCCCACTTCGGTGACTTTCGGGCCGTTGGAAATCACGTTTTCCAGCATGTTCCAAGGTTCTGCCAAATTCCGGGCGCTCCCTGACATTTCTTTTCGGCTTCGTTCGGCTTCCAAGCGCCCCCGAAGGTTGCTCTTTCAAATGCTGTTGACTCTCGGGTGCCGCCGCCGGAGCACTCTTTCCCTGGCGCCCAGAAGTCACTCCTCTGCGGCCTCGACGTCAGGCTCCCAATGCCGGAGAGACCTCTCGGCTTTTGGACTTCTTCCAGCTTCTGTTGAACTCGCCCTGCTTCCAAAGGAAATCTCCAGGGGCGGTTAACTGGCGGGGCGGGAAGTTCCGATGCCTGGTCTGCAACGTCAGCGCCCCCGCCAGTGGCCGCCATGCCCCTTGCGGAGATAGACCCACCGAGATGTTCGTCCGATGTGTTCGCATCCTCTTGGGGTGCATCTCCGACATAGTGTTAAGTCGGGCCTGTCCTCCAACAGGGGGAGTTTGGACGACACATTAAAAACAGCCAGAACACATCCAAAAAGGTGACACATAGCAAACAAACGTCGTCCCCCGACTATTTGTTGTGTCTTTGAATGCTCCTCTCGTAGAGGGGCACGCCCAACTTGAAACTAGACCCGCCGAGATGCTCGTCCGATGTTTCCGCATCCTCTTGGGGGTGCCTCTCCGACACGGCGCGGCAGGACCCAACGTCGGGGCCCGACGTCGGGGGGCAGGCGGCACCCCTGCCGACCCCAGGAGGTCTGCGAACCCCCGGCCCCGAGTCAGGGGAACGAACAGTCCGACCCGCACATATACAGTCGGGGCGTGGACCTAAGGAACCCTGAAGAAGGAACGAGGCCCCTATTTTCCATGAGTTGAACTTCGATTTCGCATCGAAAACCTAAGGAAAACCTGAGGCAAGCTGCGAAACACTTAAGGAACGCGGAGCCCCTCCCCAACGGAAAGGGTTCCTTCTTCAAGACCCCTACTGTAGTATACTCATCTTGTAGCTCATCGTTTCACGAGCGGCGTGGCCAGAAAGCGCCCGCCACGATGCATATACTATAAGATTTCTCGGTGCGCGCGTCGCCCCTGGGGGGGCGACGCACACATAGTATCAGTATGGTGGGGCGACGCCTACATGTCAGGGAAACGGACATGGACTGAGGCAATGTGGATCACGGTCGGACCGAGGTAAAGATCGAAGTCGGCTCGGGGAGGGCGCCCTCATGTTCTTCCTGTCTGTTGGATGTCCTTGTTTCGTCCGACGTCTTCGCGCCCTTTCTGGGGTGAATTTCTCGGGGAACGCAACATGACATGAACATAAAAAATCGGAAGTCCGCGCGGATTGATGGAATTGCGCTGGACCCCCTTCCCTGGCGCGCGGAGCGCGCCAGGGGCGGCGCCGCTGCCAGGGGGCTCCAGCGCGGTTCCGAGAAATCCGCGCGGACTTCCGAGTTTTGATGTTCATGTCATGTTTCGTTCCCCCAATTTCCGACACGGTGTCAAGTCTGACGCCATTTTGGGGTGCCTTTCTCGGGGGCGGCAAAGAGGGGGGCGTCTAAGAAAAGGGGGCGCAGATCGTAGCCGGCGGCGTGTGCGCGGCCCAGGGGGGGGGGGCCAGGAACGCATTGAAATAAGAAGAGGCGCCAAAAAATCTGGGGAGACTTCATGGCCCCCGCCATGATATCCACCACCCCCCCAGTCTTATGTCGGGCATGTCCCCCTACAGGCCGATTTTGGACGAAGAATCCTTAATAGCCGAACATATTTCAAAATAGTCAAAACATGGTCAACAAAAATAGTCCCCAGACTATTGTTGGATTATTTGTGGATGTTCCTCATGTAGAGGGACACGCCCGACTTACACGTGTTGTAATAAGAAGAGGCGCCATGAAATCTGGGGAGATATCATGGCCCCCGCCATGATATCCCCCCCCCCCAGTCTTAGGTGGGGCCTGTCCCCCTACAGGCTGATTTTGGAAGGAAAATGCAAAATAGTCAAACATACTCTATTATATGTATATCATCCCCAGACTATGTTTTGACGATTTGGGGATGTTTAAACGCATTGAAATGAGAAGAGGCGCCATGAAATCTGGGGAGTTAGCATGGCCCCCGCCATGGGATCCCCCCCTAGTCCTTGGGTGACCCAAAAGGGGGTCCAGCTGAAAGGGGGTGGTGCAATTGATGTGGGGTAATTGAACTGCAAATGTATTGCGCCGGAGAAATGTGTTGCATTGTATTGCAGCGAATGCATTACACGCGAACATCCAGCAATGAATTTGCGCCCCGGAATGTATTGCACGCCCCAAGTGTATTGCAACACCACAAATCCGTTGCACCAAATCTATGGCCCCCCCCCCTTGTCGCTGGACCCCTTTTTGGATCAACCCGACTGATACCACCCCCCCTAGTCATCACCCCCCTCTTCTTGCCGCTCCCGCCTTTCCGACACGGTGTGATAAGTCCGACGCCACGAACCCGCCGCACCGCACCCCCGCGGCACTCCCGCGCCCGCGCCCCTGCTCGAAACCAGGTCCAAACACGTCGGCGGGGGGCCCTCCTCCTCCTCCTCCTCCTCCTCATCCTCCTCCTCCTCCTCCTCCTCCTCCTCTCCTCCTCCTCCTCCTCCTCCTCCTCCTCCTCCTCCTCCTCCTCCTCCTCCTCCTCCTCCTCCTCCTCCTCCTCCTCCTCCTCTCCCCTCCTCCACCTCCCCCTCCCCTCCTCCACCCCCTCCCTCCTCCCCTCCTCCTCCCTCCTCCTCCTCCTCCTCCTCTCCTCCTCCTCCTCCTCCCTCCTCCCCCTGCCCCTCCTCCCCTTCCTCCTCCTTCGTCCTCCCCCATCCTCCCCCTCCCCTTCCTCCTCCTCCTGCCTGCCCGCCCGCCCGCCCGCCCGCTCGCCCGCCCGCCCCGCATGCTCGCGCCCTTCCTGCTGCCCATCCTTGCATCCCTCGGGGATCGGGGCGTTTGCTTGCGAGGTTCCAGGGGATCCAGGATCGAGGACCCCCTCGCGCTGTGAAACAATCGCGGCGGGAAATTTCTTGCTCTCTTCGGCCTCCAAAGGCCCTCGCCAGGCCTCAGAGCCGTCAAAAGACGACTCGGATGAAAAGCCGGTCCCGGGGCAGGTGTCCATACCTCGGGGGGCCGACGTTGTGAACAAATCACTACGTCGGGGGTATGGGTCTCGCCTCTCTCCTCGTTCCTCCCTGCCCCTGATTCCATATCCCCCACCCCCTCTTGCTCAGCCCTCCTCCGCTGTCTTTCCTTTCTGGTCCCCCTTCGCAAGCCTGTCCCCGTCGGTTACGGGCGCAAGCGGCCGAAAAGGGCAGAACCAAAAAAGACCCCAGACCCTTCCTGTCCCTTTCTCTCTCCTCATTCTCTCTCTCCCTCTCTCGTTCTCGCTCTCGCTCTCTCTCTCTCTCTCTCTCTCTCTCTATGTCTCGCGAACACGGTGGCCTTCACGAGGTGACCGGAAGTCCCGGAGGACGCGGGCGATGACCGCGCTGGAAGAGGTCGTCAAGTACTCGTAGCACCGCGGGTCGATCGGATAGCGCTGCACGAACATCTTGATCCCTGCCCAGAGGAGGAGGAGAAGGAGGAGGGGGAGGAGGAGGAGGAGGAGGAAGGGGAGGAGGAGGAGAAGGGGGAGGAGGGGGAGGAGGAGGAGGAGGAGGAGGAGGAGGAGGAGGAGGAGGAGGGTGTGAAAACCAGAGTGTTTGCATGCTTGCTGTTTGCCTCTCGTTCATATGCGCCTGTACCCGCAACCGCTTTGGCTCACCAGGGCCCTTGAGCTTGAGGCGACAACGGAAAGCAGCGCGCCCCTCTTTCGAAGTTGCATCTTCACATTGGTAGCGGAGCAGTTCGAGCCACGGATTGCAGCGGATTGCTCGCTTCGACGGATTGACTGTCAGCAGCTTCGACGGATTGACTGTCAGCAAAGAGCTTCGCTTCGACGGATTGACTGTCAGCAGAGTTTCTACTCGACGGATTGACTGTCAGGGAGATGGCGCCTAAATCACAGCCATCAGAAGAAGAATACGGAGGCCTCGGGGAAGAAGGCGACCCAGCTGCTTCGCAGCCGGGAGGAGGACCAAACATCAAAGCTCCAGCCTACGACCCCAAGAGTATGACCATGAAGGACTACAAGCGCAGGGTCGCGGTGTTTCGCATTCGCACTCGCCTGCCCGTCGAGAAGCAGGCGGCGGAGCTCTACGCCGAGGGCGACGCCTGGGTGCACGCGGAAGACCTGGATCCGATGACTTTGCAGAACGCCGGAGGAGTTCAGATGCTGCTCGACTTCCTAGCCGACAAGTTCGACGATGAGAAGGTGATGGAGTTGGGAAGCGGGCTCAAGACATTCTTCGCCAAGATGCGCCGCGAAAGCGGCGAGGAGATACGTAACCACATCAACCGCTTCGACTCGCAGGTCTCGCGACTGAAGACGTTGCAGATCGAGTTCCCCGATCAGGCGCTCGCGTGGCTGTTCATGTGGTGGCTGGGCCTGCCGCCAGATAGAGAAGCTGGAGTGCTCAACGCCAATCAGAACAAGTACGAGCTCAAGCCGCTGCAGAAGCAGACGTTGCTGAATGTAAAGGACGCTAGAGCGCTGGACAAGTTCAACCCCCGGAGGCCCGTTCCAGCACAGCCCGCTACAGCCAAGGGAGGAGCCAGACAGCGACGCTGGGGAGCTCACCTCACCGAGAACGACGAGGAGGACGGCAACTTCGAGGCATTCGAGACTCAAGTGGAGGACGATGACCTGCCGGAGGAGCTACTCGAGAAAGAGGACGAAGCGGAGGCCGAAGTTTTCAAGCTGGAGAAGATGCTAGCCAGGGCGAAGGATCGCCAGAAGGACGCCAAGCAGGCGCGAGGTTTCTATCATCGAGATCGGCTGCCAGGACACAAAGGCGGTGGACGCGGTCCCAGTTCATCAAGTGCTGGAGGCAAGGGCGGTTCAGAACGCATCAAGAAGCTGAAGGCCAGGACCCACTGCGCGGTCTGCCAGAAGATCGGGCACTGGAAGGGAGACCCGGAGTGCCCTGGACCGCCGAAGAAAGCTCACATGACGACCACCGACGACAACCACAAATTAGAGGACGATCAGGCCGCGGAACAGTTCTACACCAGCTGGCACGACAAGGAGCAGCAGATCGCGACGCAGAGCTTCTTCATCAACAGCGCGATGATGACGGACGCGGTCAACGTGATAATGGCTACGAAGGAGGAGCTCCTGCAACAGTGCGGGGGCAAGCTGCTGCCCGACTCGCGCTGCGCGAAGTCCGTGGGCGGCCAGGTCTGGTACGACGACATCAAGAAGAAGCTGGCCAAGCTGGGATTGAAGCCGATCGAGTTCAACGAACGCGAAGCCTTCAGATTCGGAGCTGGGAAGCCAATCATGAGCACCATAGGCGCACTGATCCCTCTTGCGGTACGCGGAAGACACTTCACGTTGAGGATCTCGATAGTGCCCTGCTTGGTGCCCGCGCTTTTATCTCAGAAGGCTCTTGGTCAACTGGGCGCTGTGCATGATCACGAGGTGGAGGCTGGAGAGAGCACCATGACGTTCAGGAAGCTGGGAGTCTCCGACCTCGAGCTCGGGCAGACCAAGAACGGCCATCCGAGCTTCAACGTGCTGGAGTTCGACCGGGCCCATCTTTTCACAGTGCCTCCAGACGCGAGCCCAAGCCAGACAGAGATCCGGCTGCTTCCGCCAGCACAGCGCTGGTGGAAAGAAATCAAAAGAAGCGAGGCCCATCCTTCTCAACAACAGGCCCTAGAGGTCTCCAAGGCACCCCCAGCTCAGGAACGTCTACGTGGGCCTCCAGAGATCCGCGAAGCATTTCGACTTCAGCATCGAGAGCGACCCGAACTACTACACGATAAACTTCAGCATCGAGAGCGACCCGAATCACAACACGATAAACTTCAAGGAAAGCGACCCGAATTAGCACGAGAAAAACTTCGACAACTCCGAGAAAGATCTAAATCGGTACGAGACAAACTTCGAGAAGCCTCCAAAGAACCCCAGACAGGAAAGTGCCCGATAAGGATCTTTGATGAGAAATCTAATGGTCCTAAGCGGTTACCGAAACCAGACCAGTCACGAACGGTACGGTTCAATATGAATGACAATATGAATGACGGAGATGATGACAATGATGCGTTTCGGTCTCAGCCAAGTGTGGTTCAAGCCCTTTCAGGTGATTCGTGCAACCAACGATTTCGTTTATGGGCAGATGCCTCTCAGTGTGCTGGGATGGATTCACGCTTGGGGCATTCTCGATGTGAATACCAACAAGAAGTACAACACGGCGGCGCTGATGCGCTGGAAGCAGATCCTCAAGCTAGTGTTCATGGCAATTGCGATGACGAGACACCCGGCCGTGGCCCTCATCTTTCACAACGGACGTCGTCACGGCAAAGAGGAGATCCTGGAAGGTCGACTCGAGCCGCCGGCACCTCGACGTCTACTGCCGTTGAGTACCATGGTCAAGGTGGATCTACAGGAGGAGATGGAAGCCAACGGGCTAGAGTTCAAAGGTTTGGCCTGCCGGGAGATGCGCGTGATCCTGAACGAGCAGCGGATCGAGAACGGTCAGAGTCGCAAAGGAGCTCGAGCTGGAGACCCGGAACTACGCGGACTTGCCAAGAAGACGAGGGCAGAGCTCATCCAGCTGGCCAGGAAGCGCGACGTGAAGGTGACCGACGACATGCTCAAGGACAAGATCGTGTGCCCACTACTGGGACAGACACCGACTGCAGTCAAGAAGGAGGAGATCAAGGCAGAGGCACCACTGCGTACGACCTCGAGGGGTGCTTCGACGACCAGGAGTGCTTCCTTAGCCTGTCGGAGCTCCGGAAGGGGACAGCTCGCCAGGTCAGTGGGACCACCTGCCTCAGACGCCTCCGAGAGCGAGGAGCCGCCAACCGGGAGAAGGAGCTCGTCCATCAGCGACCTGGAGGGAATTGCAGTCGAAAATGTCGGCGTGGAGGAGAACCAGAGTTGGGAGATGATAGCTCCGAAGGGCAAAAGCCGCAGACAGCGAGGGTGAGGCGCAAGATGAAGCCAGGCCAGATCAAGCGGTACAAGGACATGGTCAACAAGGCGATCAGCTTCCTCACCTGGCAGACTATGTTCCTGAGCGCGTTCCTGGTCAAGCCGCTTTTCTTAGAAGGGAAGGCCATTGTGCAGGACCTCTGCGAGGTGTTCAACGTCAAGACCGATGCGAGCTACGACTTGATGCAGATCTTCGCGGGCGAGGCTAGCATCTCCGAAGAGTTCAGCCGGAAGGGCCTCAAGGTATGCGAGCCGATCGACCAGAAGTATAACTACGACCTGAGAAATGAGCAACATCGGCGAGAAGTTCTACAGCTCTTCTACTCGTGCAAGCCCAAGCTGCTGACGCTGGAGTACCCCTGCACGTTGTGGACACAACTTACCAGAGTCAACTACAGAGGTGAAGCTAGACAACAAGAGCTACGACGCAAGCGAAGAAGGGACCGACCTCTTCTGGACTTCGTGGAGGAGATAGGCACGATGCAGCTCAACAGCAAGCGGGGCATCCTTTTCGAGAACCCCTGGACGTCTGAGGTTTTCAACCAGCCGCAGATCAAGCGCTTGAAGGAGCACTCAAGGGTGAAGGGGGTGAAGATCGACATGTGCCAATTCAACTTGAGACACCCGAAGTCGAATGAGATGATTAAGAAGCCCACCAAGCTTCTCGTCTCTAACGACTCGTACGTCAAGAAGTTGGGACGGCAATGCGATGGAAGTCATCCCCATCATCTACTGGAAGGAGCTCACTACACGCGAAAGGCTGGTCGCTACACTCAGGAGTTCGCGAAAGCTGTCTTGCAAGCCTACCAGCACAGCAACATGACCTACATCATGGAGCACGGGGTCTACGCGACGGGCGACCTCATGGACCTCATGGGCGGCGAGTCCGACGAGTGGTTCTACTACGAGAACGTGGGCGACTTCACGGAGATACCGGCTAAGCTTCCAGATGGACCTGATTGGAGTCGAGTCGGCAGGCGTCGAGTTACAGATCTGGAGGCCGACATGGCGATGCAGGATTTCGAGAAGGCCGACATCACCACCGATCTCATCAAGCCCAAGTTGGACCGCACGGCCAAGCTGAACATTCAGTTGTGGTACAAGCCCGAGCCAGTCGCTGACGACATCGGAGCTAAGGCCATTCAGTTCGGGCCCGGCAGCTCAGAATGCTCAAGCAAGGATCTGGCAGCACTACGACAACTTCATCAGAACTTGGGTCATCCAAGTAACGAAGATCTCGCCAGGTCTCTCAGATTTTCAGGATGTCGATCGGAGGTTGTGAAGGCGGCGAAGTCTTTACGGTGTGCTACGTGTATGAGCAAGGCACGCAAAAGGATTGCAAGGCCAGCCAGACTTTCGCACGCAGCCGATTTCAATGAGCAGATTGGGTTGGACTGTTTCACAATCAAAGATGTTGATGGAAAGCCATGGGATTTATTATCAGTTGTGGACTTGGGTACTACGTTTCATGTCGTGGGAATGATTGAGAGCCATCACTCGGAGGTGTTAGTCAAGG